TTGACGAAGAATGATAGCAAGGTGAAAAATAGAATTTGCTTTTGGATAACACTTACTATCAAGATAGGTGTGAAGAGAAAAATCCTATTTGATTGATATGAAGAAGAATCAAGCCTAGAGATATCCAAATTAGTGTTATTCATGGAGACTTGTCAGTATAACTTAAGGATGTAATGTTTAGCTTGGCTGAGGAGTTTGACTAATTCTCTTCATTTACAAATTTGAGTGAAAATTTTCGTAAGGTTGGGTTTAAACTCTAAGAAGATAACTTTTTAGATTTGCTTTTGATTCTTAAAGACGAGTGGTAATAAGATGTCACAAGGAATTTCACTTTGGGAAGACTTATTGAGATTGAACTATCTTATAGTTAGGCATTTATAGAAAATTTGATAGTTATGAAGTAAAAAGGTAACAATATGGATTATTTCCATAGGATTGGTAGATTAATTTGAGTATATGAATGCAAAGTCTGATTGTTTGAGTTTTTGTTATATCAATCATTAGTGAAGTCATAGTCTTGATTAATAGCAAGTTGACACAGTATAGTTTTTGATCAGGTGCTAGTGAAGAAAGTCATACTTATGAATAAAATATGGAAACTTAGAATTTTCTGATGTTATTGTTAGAGCATCGAGAAATCAAAAGTTTTAAGATACATCGTTCTATCTTAAATTGATGGTTTTGTGGGTACATTTGGAAAAGTGATATTTTAAGAGTAAAAGAGCGATTTAATGGCCGATCATTGATTATCGAATGATTAGAGAATTTTGAGACTACTTGAATTTTATTTTAGAGAGATTCAGAGTAATTGGTGGAAAATAATACATAGATTCTTATTAGTATAAAATGAATATCATTTTTTAGAAATATTTGAGTGATTGTGATAGGTGTTAAATTATTAGATTATAGAAGAACTTCTTAATTGGTTGGGTCATAACACTTGAATAGACAAGCAATGGAGCAAACTTCAGAGTCTATATTGTAATTGAATATCTTTAGAGATTAATATATTGATTTGAGCTAATGATTTGATTAATGCAATCAGTATTTGGATCCTCTAAGATGACTATGGTAACTTAGGATGATATTAGTGATTTTGTTTATTTCTTTCAAAATTCTTAGGTCCGCAAAAAGAACAAGTCTTGTGGGAATGCCAAATGTTAGGGTGGAGGTCCTGAGTCTCTAGAGTTAATCTTTTAAACCCGCTTTAAATAATGATGATTAATCAATTAATCTTGGGAAAAATAAATATTAAATTAGCTCACATAACTACAATTACATAAATATTAATATTTTGATAGTGTGCACATCAAAAGTTGCAAAGATGGACAACTTAATTGCAGTAAGAGGAGAAAATATATTATGAATTTTGAAGAATAAAGTATTTTTAAGGAAGAGAGATTTTGGGTATGATTGATCATTGTGAAAATTGCCTGGGAGAGATATGGTTCAAGTTTTAAACATAAATGATTTGGTAAAGGAAGAGAACAATTTTAATGGAAGACAATCGAAGAAAAAGATATACAAGATGGTAGATGTTGGTGGTTTTAGGTTCGCAACTTGTAATGGTTAATTATCAATTTCTTCTTTTTCCTCAGATAAGTTTGCTTTCTGAGGTGCACAAGAATTATTAGGTTACGCATGGATGAGTTTGATGTGCGAGGTTTAGGGTAGACAATATAATAATGGATTGAAAACTATGAGTTATTTTGTGATATGGCAAGGTGCTTCATCTTAACGATATATTCTAAAGGTAATAAGTAGGGATTAGTAACAATATAATGAGAGTCTGGGAAAGAGAGAATATAAAAATGACTAAGAACAAATTGTGAACCTTAGTTCTGGACATCCTTGACATGTAATGATGATTCCAAAAAAGGGTTTTCATTAACGTGGTCAAATCCATTCTACTTTGGTTTCCCCAAAGTTGGGTTTTATGGAGTAACCGTTTGGAAACTACCCATGCCTTAATTCTTTAATGTGTAAAATCTGAGATGGGCATTATGTTTAATCAAGTTTTGGTTCTATAATGTCAATCTAAAGAGCTTGGTGGAGTGAAGGCTTAGATAGCTTATCGAAATCAACGATGAAACTTGACAAGACTGCGGAATTGGATGATTTTGCTTTGAGTTTTGATCGGCTAGTTATGGAATGAGAAGTGATAATAGTTTGGTTATTGGATTTACAATGAACCATTCTATATTCATAGTGGCTTGACCTAAAAGCAGCAACAATACGGGCTCTGGACAAAAGGCAACTCAATTGGATAACTGGCTACAAAGAATCATGCAACTGAGGTCATTGTTTTGCAAAGGGGCAAATGCATAAGGAATACTACACTTATTCGGTTGGGATAACTAGCATAATTTCGAGGACGAAATTATTTTAAGGGGAAGAATGTAATATCCCGTTCCAATTTGACAACGAACTAGTTAGAAATATTATCTTGTAAGGAATAAGAAAAATTTTAAAGAATAATTTAGAATAATCTAGAATATTAGAGAAGTTTTTATAAAAATGTAGAATATTCTAGAAGATGCTAGAAAGTTCAAGAATAACCTAGAATAGTGTAGAACAATTTAGAAGAATCTAGAATGCTGAAGAAGTTTTTAGAAGAATCCGGAAAGTTGTAGAACAATCTAGAAATCTAGAATATTTTAGAAGGTTCTAGAGGGATTTAGAATGTTATAGAAAATTTTGTAAGGATGTAGAAGGTTAGAGAAGACTTTAGAATATTATTGATGAATCTAGATACATGTGGAATTGTCATGTGCAAAATAAGTTGGAAACCTAGAAGATCTAGGAGAGGGGATATGATAGAATATTCTAAAAATCTCTCCTAAAAATGTCACAAATTCTCTAGAATAATCCTAAGATGCCTATAAATAGGGCATTTGGGGATTGGATTAAGATATAAGTGCATAAGTAGTCTTCCACTTTCAAGAAAGAATAGAGAGTAGAAGAGAGAAGAAGGAAGGAAGAGTACATCATCAAAGGAGAAAGGAAATTGTGAGAAAAAGAGGAAAGACATCGATAACATCTCACTCTACTTCGTGTAACAAGCAACACTCAATAAGTAGATCATTTGGACTTGAGGTGAGTGGTTTGGCATGTTACGTATTTTTTCGTATCCCTAACATTTTAAAAATGATACATAATACTTGTTCATTATTACCTTTACAAAATGTTTTACTAAGTGTCTAAATACTTGTGGCATACGATTTCCCTTACCTAGATGAATTCTTTTGTAAAGTATTGTGATTCAATCACTTGTTTATATGGTAAGACTTAGTGATGGTGAATGAGACCAAAATTAAAAGTCCAGGAAAATTATTCCTCTGTGTGCGGGTGACTTTGGCCACTAGGAAACAGAGCCGGGGGAGGCTGAGGTGATCCTAGTGCTCAACGGTTGAAGGAACAGTGTCTGGTGCGTCCTAGTGACCTTCACCGGATTGTTTTAGGGAACAGACCCGAGGGAGGCTGTGGTGACTCTAAGAACGATGTTAGATCCAACCCTGAGATATATTCTGACATTTGGTTAAAAGTCCAGGAAAATTATTCCTCTGTGTGTGAGTGATCCTGGCCACTAGGGAACAGACCCGAAGGAGGCTGAGGTGACTCTAGTGCTCAACGGTTGAAAGAACAGTGTTTGTTGCGTCTTGGTGACCTTCACTGGATCATCTTAGGGAATAGTTCCCGGGCAGCAACCCGTGGTGACCCTAAGTACGATGTTGGATCCAACCTTGAGATCTTCTGGCATTTGGTATGGTTCCCAGATATTGTACAAGTCCTTACCAGTATGATATGATGATATAATTTGTTATTGTCACAACGTTTTTACTGGTTTGTTTATGATTGTCTATCGTATGTCATACGTATTTTCTTATTATCAGTTATTATATTTGGTATTTGGTTCCCATCGATTATTGGATATCGTACGGTCTCCACCATTATAATATAATGCACCATTGTGCTATGATTTCTTGTTGGAATCCGATTGTGTTATTCTTGAGAAATTGGTTATCTTAATGAAGTTATTTTTTTCAAACCTTTGATTTACATGTAGTCGTATGCCAAATATGTTTTTCAGCCACTTTGAATATGCATGTCTTTCTATTCACTGGGCTTTTTAGTTCGTATTTTCAAAATAATGTTTTTTTTAGGTAAACGATTGGAGTGTCAATGGTGGACTCAGGGAATTGATTGGGGACTAATAGTGTTGTGACCTTCGTAGCATATATTGTATAGCCATCTTTATTTGTTTGGATAATTGGGGCAAACAGGTTTAGGTATGTTGACTTTAACATATTGACATGAGATCAATTTAGTGTTAATGTTATTTTCCACTCCTATATTATTAGTTTATTGTTAGGCTTACGTGTTTCATAGGTTATGGATCTATGGTTCACGGCCGGTCATGCCCTTGGAGTTGAGGTGTGACAAAGAGAGAACAAGAGAGATATTACTATCACATAGTCTGTTAACTAAAAAACTTAACGAAAAATCCCCAAAATACTAAACTACTCTATCATAAATATCTGTCACATTACTACTCTTTAAGTTCCTTACCCCCCCCAAAAAAAAAAAAAAAGAAATCTCCTTTCTTGCATTTTCAAGTTTCTGGAATGATTCGGTATCAGTCCGACTTGAAATAGAGGTTCTGTTTCAGTAAACTTCTCCAGCATGGCACCTCTGCCGTAGAATTGGATAATTGTTTTGAAGAAGGCTTTTGCTGATCATAACCTCCAAAACTTTCACACAACGCTTCTCCTTTTCTTTTAATGGGTAATTTCTACTCATGTGATTGGATGTAGTGGGAATTATTTAATTTTTTGGTATGATTGGTGCCTGATTTTTATGTAAGTTTACTATGAAGTATCAGCATTTCTCTATCTTCCTTGAACTCTCTTCCAGTATAAGTACGTGTATTTTTGTGACGTTGAGATGATTAGAGATTTAGACTATTCATTGACATGACTCATTTTTTCTCATGGACCCCAATGGTAAACAATTCTTTGATTTCAGCCGAGGTCCTGTCAGTATATTTAAATCTTTTTGAGTTGTTTCTGACGACCAAATGTTTCCATGGACAGGATCTGTATAGGAACATCTTACGTAGTGACAACTCTCTGGGTCAGTTTTTTTCTGGTCCGTCTGCCAACTTCATTGCCGGGGCTGCTGCCGGTTGTACGACACTGATTATTATCTACCCCCTTGATATTGCACACACCCGTCTTGCTGCTGATCTGGGAACAACCGAGGCTCGTCAATTCCGAGGTGTTCGCCACTTCCTTAATACCATACGTGAGAAAGATGGTGTCCGAGGGATATACAGGGGCCTGCCTGCTTCTCTACATGGAATGGTTGTGCACAGGGGCCTTTACTTTGGTGGTTTTGATACCATAAAAGAGATGATGTCTGAAGACTCTAGACGAGAGGTGGCACTGTGGAAGCGTTGGGTGGTGGCTCAGGCAGTCACATCATCTGCTGGATTGCTGTCATATCCATTGGACACGGTTCGGCGACGGATGATGATGCAATCGGGCCTAGAAAAACTATGTACCAGAGTACTTTGAACTGCTGGAGGAGGATTTACAGAACAGAAGGGGTGGCATCATTTTACCGTGGGGCTGTGTCAAATATTTTTAGGAGCACTGGCGCGGCTGCTATATTGGTTTTGTATGATGAGGTCAAGAAATTTATGAATTGGAGTGGACTGTAGGAAGAAATACTTTTGTTCGTTTTTGTTCCTGTAAGCGAAAGGATTTAGGTTAGTATGAAGCAGCACAGCATGAATGATCGAATAGAGTTGATCATTATTCGCCGTGTTGCTTTTTGGAGGCTCTGGCAAATAACGATCCTTGATTCTTTAGTTGAAAAATAGAATAAGGTAATATAGTTAGAAATTTTTTTATGCAGTTGCTGATCTGGAAGTCATCCTCTGTTATGTATCTTGTCTATCTTTTCGAGTTTGTCTTGTAGAGCAAGTAAAAAGAAAAAGTAGTCCTAATGTGCATGGTGACAATCTTTGATCCTTTTTCCCCCTCTTTTTGGACTTTTGAGAGAAACAAAGAACAATACTGATTTACGAGAATATACAAAGAGAAATTAAATCCACCCATGTTCAACCTAAATGAAAAGAGCATTCAAAAAATAGAAGAAAAGGCACAACCCGGGAAAATGAAAATGGCAAAGTATTTTTGAGTAAACGAAAATAGTAAAAGTAGTGGAGCAAACCAGGCACAGAAAAACGGAACACTAGTTCAAATGCAGCCAACCATTTTCCAAAGGGCGTGTAAGCTTACACTGCCTGACAATGTACAATATAATGTATTGTAGTTCGGAACAAATAGGTCGAATATAATGTATTCCTTCCTAAAGAAACCATTGAGAGGTCAAAACTTTGACGAAGAATGTGATCTCTCGATCTCGATGACTAAGCTGTACGTAGCTTGACTTAACCAAATAGATACGTGGCCGAGTGGGAAGCCATAGAACTTTGGGCGAGTCTATTCTCATCCCCAAATATACTTCCCTACCTCGTTAAACTCGCTAATGTAAAACTATTAAGTCTACCTTACTCTATTTCACCCAATTTGTGGCTAAGCTCACCCATTTTGTACGCACTTGATAATAAAACGTCCTCGGACTAAGGAGCTCCATAGCTCGGAAAGGGTCCATCTCGATAACTCACATGTCCTCCAACTCGTCAGAGTCCAGTCCCCTCACAACTTTGACTAGTTCAACTCTGCTGGAGCCTCCACTCAACCAAGAAGACTATTTTCGTCACTTCTAACGTAACTACCTCCATTTGAATAATAGAATAAGAAGCCCCCAACGACATAGTTAAATTGGCCTATATAAAAGGGGAAGAAGGGAGATCAACCAAGGTAGGCAATAATCACTCCAGCTCAATACTCCCTGTCCTATAAATTCCTCATCTAACTTGACCATTATAGGGTCGACTCCCGCAACCCCTATGGTCTTCGACTTGCCCTTGTATACCTCCTTTGGTCATTTGGAACGCAATTTCATCCAAGGAGCTTGGAGAGCAATTATTGGTATCAATAGTTGCCGCTGTCTTTGGTAAACGCTAAGTTTTCCACCCTTGAGCAATTTGAAATAACAAAATTTTCATCCCTAAATTTTTGAACCAATGGCCATTACAATGTCCCAATATCCAATTAGAGACCAAACCCATGAGAATGAACAACCAAAGTCACACCCAATTGACCGTCAGAACCTAGCCCCGCCAGAAAAGGAAGCATCGTGAGTAAAGAAGTTGGAAAAAAATGTAGAGGAACTGGTTCAACCAAATCGAAAAATCTTGTAGCTTCTCACCACCTAGCAGCTCCTAGAAAAGAATTTGTCCCAGGTCAGGATCATCGTTATGAGAGTCCACAGAATGAAGGCCAAAATGAGGTCATCCGTCCACAAGTAAATGACCAATGGGAATGAAAATTCCAAGATGTTGGATCATATATTGTAATTGGCTAATTTTATGGAGTCCATTTTAAAATCTCAACCATTTCCATGGTCATGATGGTATCAACTTGAAAATCCAAAAACGCCATTGAAGGGAGGGATCAAGCGTCAAAACTACATCATTCAACCTCTGTATGCACCTTTGTGCTTAAGACAAAGGTAATGACCTAAAAACCTAAGATGACCCTTAGTTACTTTACTTAGAACAAATATGATGACAATAAAATTGAAAGCGATTCGGTTATGACTCTTAGGTAATTTTCAAAGGACAGTTTTTCTAAACTATTTTTGTATTTTGAAAACATAGTTTGAATTACAATCGGATTCCTCTTTGAGAAACACCCTTCAGTGCTCAAAATAATAAGTTTTTGCATGATTTTTAGACTTAAAAAACTTATAGGGACTGATCTATATTTGCTAACCTTCACTAGGGCGATCTATTGATGATTCAGGATAAAAAGAAAAAATAACATGGGTTTTTTAGTTGTATGAACCCGAGACGAGTTTGAAAAGCTTGTTTCTTAATCGAGCTTAAAAAATTGTTCAAGTTTGACTCGTTTAAGAAATGAGCCAAGCCTAATGAACCAAAAACAAGTTGAGCTCGAGCCGAGCCCGAGTATTTGTACATAAACGAGTTGAGCCTGTCGAGTTTGAGTTGAGCTTGTACGACTTGTTTTCTAAACAAGCCTAAAAACTTAATCAAGTTCGGGCTCGTTTAGAAAGCGAACCGAGCTTGAATGAGCTGAACCTGAGCTGAATTCAAGTCAAGCTCAAGTAGCTCAGTTTGATTAACAACCCTAAACATGGGGGATCAATACATGGCTCACTCTATAAGCTCGCTCGAGCGGTGCCCATGGTCGCTCAAGCGGTGCCCTTGGTTGCTTGAGGGGTCCTGGTCCTTGGTTGGTTGAGTCGGTGTTTTTCACTCCAGTGTCAATTGCCCTATGACCGCCCTTCTACCGATCGAGTGATCGTTTCATGAATCTGAGTTTTCTTATTTGCTAAAACTACCCTTATTCCGAACCTATAAATAGGGAGAGTCTTTTCCCACATCTAGGTCTAGCCTTGAGAGAGTCACTTGTGAGATTTTGAAGTGAGAAATCTATCTTTCAACGTTGAGAGCTTCCACCACAACCTAGATCCCTAAGATTCAAAGGCTACCATTAGTGATTCTTTCCATCCTCACAACTTAGAGAAGAAGAACTTATTGGTGAACAAATCCATTGGTGTGTGCATACCGAGGAATATTGGCATGCCCGTAATTGCTCGAGGCCAAGACAAATTGTGACACCCCTAAAACCAAAGGTCCTTTATTAATCGTTGACTATCTGTCAACTCATGGAAATACTCGTGATTATCGTCCAATCTGACATCACGTCAATAGAATCCCTTTAACCGGGATTGTTATCCACTCGTATAACACATGCATATTTTGTCATTTGGTCCAACGGGTCCAATATACCACAATTTATACTTATTTTATGTCCATTTATATCCTTGGAATCAAAGAACCTATAGTCCAAAGGCTTGACAAAATAATTTTAAAATTTCAAATTTTTGAAAAGTATACCGGTAGGCCAAACCGGTACGAGTTGTCCACTGGAAAGCCATACAGGTACGAGTTGGCCACTGGTAAAGCCATACCGGTACGAGTTGTCCACTGGAAAAGTCATACCGGTACGGGTAACCCTCTAAAAAATTCATACCGGTACGGGTAACCCACTGGATCTCGTCATATCGATATGCTTTGCCGACTTTTACCTATTCCACCTATTTTTCATTTTCAATCCATTCCACCACCATCCTATACATGTTTAATGAAGTTTTTCACATTACACATGATCCATACTAGTTCTATTATATTCATTTACATGAATTTATATACCAAAACTAAGTTTTCATAACATTTTTACAAAAATTCAAATAAAACCACATTCCGACTTTCTTCATACTTGAGGCCCCGAGTGAGAGCCTTCCGCCAACGTGCCATTTGCACCTGAAATATTTTTTCCTTAAAGGGTGAGCCACGCTCAGTAGAGTATTTACTACAAAGGTTACTCCCCCAACCTAAGTGCACATGAATGTCCATGCAACATTTATCAAGCAACAATCCCAAACAAGAACTTAATATTCAATGTTGAAATTTTAACAATGTCATGTCATGAATGATATGAGACTCACTCTTGCCTTATAAAACCCGAAAAAAATTTAAACTTTTTTCGGAAAAAGTGCAAAATGGTAATTTATCACTATAATGCAGGTTTAAAATTTACATTTTTTCTAGAGCTCAGATGATGCAACGGACCTTACCGTTAGATTTGTATTGCGAAATCGAGCTGTCCTGTCAATTTTTTTATCAAATTTCAAGATAGTCAAATTTTACACATTTTACGAGACAATTGGGTTACAAATGATCTCACGAAACATCCGCAAAATGAAAATTATAAAATTTCCTTATAATTGAATAAAATTTCAAATAAAATTAATTTGAATTGAAAGCGAAATTAATTAAGTCGTTCCGGGTTAAAAACGGACCCGAAAGTACTAAACGTGTGGGGCAATGTGAATCGCGTAATTAAAAGTATAAATAGGGGATAATATCTGAAAAATCATATATTTTCTCACCTTTGGCCTGCTGAGTTCACGCGTTGAAGAGAAAAGAGAGGAAATTCATTTTCTACATTTCTTTCTCCGATCCAAGGAGTTCCGTCGATCAGAATTGCTTCAACCAAGAATTAAAGTTGGTCTACGCGACGAGAGCTACGCACACGTACCAAGAATGAAGGATTTCACCAAAGATCCAAGAAGCAAATTTTGAAAAATCAAGGTTTTGGGGGCTAGAAGGGTGTCTTGAGGCTTCTACTCTTCTATTTACGCTTCAAGAGGTAGGGTTTCTCCTACTTTAGTTCATTTTCTTACCCAGGACGATATTATGAATGGGGTAAGGGTATAGAATAACCTAGGCCACTTGACTATGGTTATGGAAATGAAGAAATGGGTATGAAATTGGCCTAGACTAATTCCTAGTTAT